TAATAAATTTTATTCAACATGTAACTTGAAAACATATCTACAATTTCAGCTGCAAAGACCGGCACCTGCTGCTTTAAGACAGCACCTCCAACTTTCACATTGTCTTGGCTGAGGAATCCATGCACTGAACCAGTGCCAAAAGGGATTTTGCAAGATTTTCCTATCATAAAAGCCCATATATAGAAGTGATAAGTATTTCGATTAAGCTATTCTACGCTTAATATCAACAATGCATCTAACCAAAATAAAGGTTTGGAGGTCCATTGGGTAACTACCAATTTTTGTATACGTATTTGACAGTCTTGATTTGTACCTGGAACGAAGATAACATGCAATCTGCATTGGAAAAATCCATTCAAAAGTTAGTTTCATATTGTGAAAATTGTTAATCCACAACTTGACAAAGACTAACCGAGAAGAAACATCTTGAAGAAGGGACCCAAAGATAGGAACTTCCAGTATCAAACACAACAATGAATCGTTGGGGCGGTGAACCAATACCAATCTCCGCGAAGTACTGAACATCATGATAATTTTTTAGGTAAACTATCTGGTCATTCAGAGCAGCCAAATTTCTATTGCGACCCCTGAGATCTTTAGCATAGATTCTTGCATCGCTTATGCTAGAAAGGTCCAACGATTGCCTTTTTAGCTCAATCCTAACCATATCATCAGCATTTACATTGATGCAGGTTATATACCATATTACAAGTGATGCAAGAAGAATTTTGATCTCCATTCTGTTCACATAGAGAAACAAATTCAAAAACAAAACAGAGCTGCAAGAACAATTTAAGAAAAATATAAAAATATAGTATTGTCTTCAAAATGCTTGTTTACTGTTAAAATCTTACTTTAAGTTTTAATACTATGAATCAATCTATCAATCAACTGGATTATATGTTAGTTGGATTCTGGCTATATGAATCCATTTTACTCTAGTATTTCTTTCAAATATTAAATAAGGGTTCTAAAGTTTATTATCTTAATCACACAATTATCTCTACAAGGACATACTACCAATCTCTAACCAGAACAAGAGGACCTTTAACAAATGCCGGACGCCTGGACCTAATACAAGTGTAGTAACCAGTGGCGATGCCAGAAATTTCATCCCCGATAAAGAATGTTCAATATATGTTATATATCATTAAAATCTAATATTTTACCTATATATACAGGTGGTCAGTTGACCACCCTTAGGGCTATGTACCTTCGCCCCTGGTAGTAACAATAATTGAACATTAATCTCAACTCTAACTTCTAAGACTAATCATACGTAATGTACTATAGTATTTAACCATTTCAAACGATCTTTATTACATTTTAAATATGATTGCATAAAGAAAACTAAGAAAATGAAAAGGCTAAATACATAAACTAGGCAAGTATCCAAATAAAAGCAAGCAGCTAGTATCTGACCCAAAAGTGACAAACTCCAAGGTTCATGCAAAACCCATAAAAGGCAAAGAGATGGCAGTTCCAAAATGCCACAAAACGGTATTTTATATGTGGCCAAGAAGGGCAAAAACTCACCAAGTCATCGTAGGCAGTGAATGAGTCCAAATTTTGAGGAAACCTCCTTGTAGTTTCGATTGAACTACATGATATAATTACGCACAAGAAAGAAAAAAAGGTACAGATTGCACTTTTTGAAGTTATTTTTTCTTACCATCTATCCATTTAGCTGAGGTGGTCATAGGTACATTAACTGTAGAGCATAAAGAGCAATATTGCATAAAGATTCTTGCTCTCATTTCTTGTTTGATTTCATTGTGAGTTAGAGTTAAAAATTTAATAAATATAGAATGTTGGCATACAACTTCTTCACTGAAGTTATAGTTGCAGCATTGCCAAAAAGATCAAACTCGAATTAAAAACCTTTTGGTATATTTAAAATAGTTTTGCAAACTTTAATATTTTAACCAGGAAAAAAAAAGGGAAAAGAAGACAAAGGCATACCCAATTAACCCAATTTTGTTTATCATCCTCGTAAGGAAGCAACATATGTTGGCCAGCATACGTGTTTCCTAATTTTTGGATTTGGGGTTCGAGAAATTTCGCCCGTCACACTCATGCAAATATTTATCATTTTTATTTTTATTTTTGTTTTTGATAAGCTTAAAGGAATCCTAAAGGGTATATGGATTTTGGAGGCGCATGGAGGTTCTAACCTGTAAGAATTTGTTTGGTACGGGTGATAAAGGATAATTAATTTTGAGATTAAATTTAAAATGAGTTTAGCTCACGTTTGATTGAGATAAAGTCGCAGCATAATTTATTCTTGAACCGAATCATGCCTGTAGACATCTAAATTTTAAGGGATCAAGCCAAATCCTAAATTAAAGGTAGTACAGGACTCTTGAAATCCTGGGAGTCTATTAGCGTTTTTTGGAGGTTACTCTATCCTAAATCCTAACTCACACCTATATAAAGAGATACATGTTCCCTTGAAGAGGGGTCTCAAAAAAAAATCCCATAAATTCTCGGGATATTCACAAAGGGATCACGGCATAAAGTAATGTCATGATCAATAGATGTTCTTCCTGATAATCAAATACTTCAAGAAGAATATCCATACAATGATCGACTTTCATGGAGATTAAATAATCCAGAGAGGTCCTTATCATCCCATGTTCGAGAATATGCTGATACAGCCCTCGAATAAACGAAGAACAATTCGGAAGAAGAATCAAGGGATAAACAGAGTTGTAACCCGCAATGTTTATCAATAAAATCACTTTATTCTTTTGTGGTTGCAGTTTAATTTTCGTATGTTAAAAATTTATTGCAAGCAAATTGGCACGCCCAGTGGAACCAGTTCTGCCCTTCATCTCTTCCTCCTGTAAATCGAAAACTCCAAGTTTCAAAACCATTTGTTGCGATGGTCGAGTACTTCAAGTCTCGTCTTAAAGTTTCGGCAAGCCTACACCCCGACAAACCTTGAAGTAGGGGGCATTTGTAGACATCGAAACTTTAAGGGACAAAGCCAAATCCTAAATTAAAGATACTACAGGACTCTTGAAATCCTGGGAGTCTAATAGGGCTTCTTGGAGGTTACTCTATCCTAAATCCTAACTCACACCTATATAAAGTGATACATGTTCCCTTGAATAGGTATCTCAAAATCCCATAAACTCTTGGGATATTCACAAAGAGATCAAAATATGGCCGGATACTTCTTGACAATCAAATAGTTCAAGAAGTTGGAGATCAAATACATCCCCAGAAGGTCTGCATCATCCTACATTCGAGAAATACACGGCTTCAGCCCTCGAATCACGTAGATAATCAGGAGAGAAGAATCAAGGGACACACAGAATTGTACTCACAATTGATTAGTAAAAATATTTTTCTCTTATTTTGTGATTGCAGTTTATTTTTCATTTGTTGAAAATTAGTTGCAAACAACGCCAACTTCTTGAACCGAATCACACCAGTGTTATGGAAGTTCCTGGATCGTGTAAAATAATACTAGTACCAAAGACAACACGATTACTTATCCCGTTATTATAGTGTTTTTTTAATCCTTATAGAAGAATGGGATAACAATCCCAAAATAATTAATCCCGAGATAACTTGTTTACGAAAATAATTAATCCTGAGATCAGTAGCAATCGGTTTTTATTTTTTTATTTTTTTTTATTTTCTAGCTGATATTTGGTACCCACATTGAGGTCCAATTAAAAGGAGAAGTGTTTCCTATCAGATTTTATTTCTCAGTCCTTCAAACCGAAACTTCTGGTTAAGCTTGAATATATATATATATATATATATATATATATATATATATATATATATATATATATATATATATATTAGTTGAAAGAATTGATGCTATTAAAACTTGAAATTTTAATTTTCTCTCTACTCCTCACACATGGACTGCGCCAATTAGCGAAAGATTTGGTTGCTAAAATTCGATTGAAATGATTCCCCGTTAAATGATAAACAAGATATGCATTTTATTTCATTTTATATGGTATTTTCTATCTATGCAATTATTCTCGTTTATTATAACTAGTTATTAGGTACGTCCATTGCGCTTGTACTTCATATTATTGGGTATCAATATAAAATTTTAGTAAAATGAATTATAAAATTAAAGTCTTTAAAGAAAAAAAATACAAGTTTGTTAATCATATTTAGCCAACTCAATAAAGCAAGAACCTTAATTTACAGAAATCTTCGAATCTTTATTGGAAATTGGATATATGAGTAGTTATGTACAATTACTCCAAACAAGCATGCACAATTCTAAGTAGAAAGTAAAATATCTTTAACATGAGGAATTACATTTAAAACATGAAAAAATATCTCTAAGCTTCTTTGCAGTGAAAACATATGGCGTTTAACATGGCCATACTTATCTGTGATGTAATTGGCACGATGACGCAACTAAAGTTAAGTGTAACAGATAAATTAACAATTTAAATATATCACAAAAGTAAAAGAAATAAGGACGTAGATGTTATGTAGAACATTAATACATCAAATATTGGTATCAAGTAAAAAGAAACAAAAGACATAAGCTAAGAATGGTTCGCAAAAGAGGAAAAGGAAAAGTAAAGACAAAGACAGAAAAATAACTTTGAATTCACGAGATCTCATCATAATATTATTTTTATCGAAAGAAAAAAAAAAAAAAGGAAACCACTATAATTAAGTCCAAAAAACATCAAGCGCATAAGCATTAAATTTTCTTACTTTTTCATTACCATACTTCTGAAATGTACATGGCAATTGGTATAGTATCTTGTTTTCCATGTTATGAGGCATAAAGCATTTAATCGGAGATATTTTAGAGGGTAAATTAAGTGGGTAATATTGTCATTCAATTTCTGAAGGATATTTTAGTAAAATATTTCAAATAAAAGTCCGCACACTTATAATATACTAGTACTAGTACAAGTATAGTATAATTACAAAAATATCACAATTAATTAAAGTAGAAATGGAAAAAAAGAGATCAACTAAATCAAATGCATTTACTGATCAGATTTGCATTGACAAAATTCAATTAGCATTTAATAAATTTACCATAAACAGATGATCTCCGTTTAGTATTTCTCTAGCCTGACCCGGCGTAGCTGGACCTTTTTTCCTGTGGATCCTCCGGATTCGTCATTCGATCGAAGCAGCAGAAGGTTTTTTCACAACAACAACACATTTACTTATATAATTCTTTTACATTTTTTTCCAATTATTTTAGATTCATCAAATAAATAGAGGATTTTGTTTCTAACATTGATTTCTTTTGTTGATTTATTTTTCCTGGATTTTTTTGATTGACGATCATTACTTAGGGTTTGAACATGCACGGTTGTTAAAAACGGGAATGTGGAAGGTCAGATTTTGTGACGATACATATTTGATCTCAGTGTGTAATTTTTGTTGTAAACCATGTTTAATTTGCTATTTGAAATTAAATATATAGATGGTTTGCGGGAATATAATCAATTATTTTTGTGAGAGAAGAAAAATGTTAAGAGTAAGTGGGCAATAGATCAAACCGTGCATCAACTGGAGAGACTCTCGAGGATTTCTTTAAGATGTTATTATTTAATTAGTGATACATAATTATTTTACACTTATTTTATCCTCTTGCAGAATGGTAATGGATGGCATTGTGGAGTCATTGAACAAGGCATATCAGGAATTTATAACAGCAGCAGCCATTGTACTAGAGACAAGAGAGACTCATGGTGACCAAAAAACAGCAGCTGTGAGTTCTGCTATTGAAAATTTCCATCAACATTTGTTATTATTCAAATCTACTTGTGATGAAGCAGAAGGATTTGTTGATTATTTGAAGCATAGTTTAGGGTGCGATAAATTTCCGTCTTATTCTCCAGAACACGTGTCAATTGATAGTGACAATGATCAGTGTAATCCTATTCCTATCGAGGCTGATGATGAGAAAACGAAGACATCATAATAGTACATCAAAGCCTTAGAAATTCCAGACAAGACTTTATAAAATGCCATCGGACTAAAGGCATATATAATGATCCATTTTTAGGGTCATTCTTCTTGGAGTAAACTGATTTTAGTTAATTGAACAATTTGCATCACTGGTTTGTTTTTGAGGTTTGGAAGTCATAATGTCAAATGATGTATTTAAACATGTGACTTAGATTGATAGTTTTTTACTCATGGTTTTATTTTAGTACGTTCAAGACATTGACCATGCTTTGACATTTGACTGCAAAAATGTGATTTTAATTATGTAGTAGGTAGAGCCCAATATGTTTACCTCGAAACATGAGCTTAGCGATTAAAGATATTTTGTGGTTTTAAAGATACGTGAAATATTCTAATACTAATGATTATACAAGTAATATTGAGCTTAAGTAAGGAGAAATAAAGAACCAAATCAGCGTTGTTGTAACAGTAGGGGACCTCGAGCTTGACTTATCCATGGACCTCGAGGTCAGCTAAGAGTAATAAAGTATGAACAATAAAGTAAAGACAATAAAGCTAAAGAATAATTGGAGAGCACGTTAAACAAGAAGAATAAGAATGTTCTATTGCAATGAATGATCTCTCTCCTTACAAAGTGATTGGGCTCCTCTTTATATAGGAGGAGGAAACCCCAATATAGTACATTCTTCATTATACTAAAGAATCCTATTGGTACAGGTGTATAACAGCCTAGTACGGACCTGTACCATTTCGTACAAATCTTATCCTTTAACTAATGCCCCGGCCCACGTGTCCTTGAGAAATCCCATTCTTTTTTGATTGACTTCGAGATTGTACTGCCCTCGATGTAGGCCGTGTCAGGCCTTCGATCAGCCTCCTCGGGGTATATGTCTCTTGGCCGGATCTGACCTCTACTTCGAGTCTCTCGGACTCGGACCCATAGCTCGATTTAAGACTTCAAAATCATGCTCCTCGATTTTAACCGTATACAAATAGTCCCCGCGTTTCTTAGAATGAAATGATATGAAACGATTTGAGCCTCGATTCCCCCGAACCACTTGTGATGACATCATGGCTGTGACGTAGGCGCTTGAAGTGATCGAAAATGTCATGTCAGTGTGCTTCCCCAGGACGTTAAATACATTTCAACCTTTGTCGGCCACTTGCGCCGCCGGTCCCGTTGTCCGCTTTCTATAAATAGGAGATTGCTTTGTTGGACAACAACTACACTTATTCCTTCCTCTTCCATCTTTAGTCCTTTCCCTTCTTTACTTCTTCCTCTAATCACCTATTTCCATGGTTCAAACTGGTGGCCACAAGGTCACATGGCAACGACTTTACCAGTTAAGCCAAGGTTTCCTTTTTCAGAGCTTCGGCTCGAGACAACGAGAGAAAAGCACCGGATCTCTTCCATATCAGAAGATACACGAACTTTACACTGCTGCTCATCTCTCTTAACTTCAACCTGGTGTGACGCTTCATTCCTTTTGCTTTCCATGGAATGAGGTGGCGCTATTATCTACTAACTTTTGCATCCCACATCGGAACAGAGTTCCGAGGATGATCATTCTTGGACTGTTGCTCATGCATCTTGCAACCCCTTTTGGTTTTTCCCTTTTGCTCGCTCTTTCTTGATGTATGGTAGCCCAAAATTTTAATGGAATGCTCGATCTCTGCTGCTGGAGATATAATTACCCTTACCGAGGGCTTCTTGTCCCATATATACGTTCCCAGAGATTTGGAATGGTATCCCCGAGAAAAGGGTTTCCGGAGATGATGCTCTCGAGGTCACGGCCTTAAAAGTGATAGAATCTTTAGCTTTTGTTTTCGCTTCTTTGTTCTCGTGTAAGTATCCTTCATGGGTGCCATAGTCATACTTTGTAATCATTTCTTGGAGATATATAAAAAGATCTTTTTGTATCCCTTTTGGCCCAGGCCGAATTTTATTCTGTCCTTATTCGTAAAAGACTCGATTTTATGATTTCAATGACTATCTCAAATATCGAGCTTTAGGACATAATAAACCCTTAGGTTTTTAAACGATCAATACAATACACTTCGAGGTCTTTGTTAATCCTCGAGCGAAGCTTGAAGGTGAACTTGGAACGTCGGGATTCTCGAGCCCAAGTTAGGTGAGAGCAAGGTCTCGAGATAAAAATAATCCTTATACCTCTTCGTGGTCCTCGAGTGAGAATTTGCTCGAACTCGGATAGCCCTTGGGCTTAGTAGTCGAGCGAGCTTTTGCTCAAACTTGAAATAAAGATAGCTCTTAGGCTTTATGGATAGTTCCTTAATGAGCATTTGCTCGAACTCGGGTAGCCCTTGGGTTTAGTAGTCGAGCGAATGTTTGCTCGAACTTGAAACAAAGATAGCCCTTAGGCTTCAGAGATAGTTCCCGAATGAGAATTTGCTCGAACTCGGGTTAAGATAGCCCGTGGGCTTAGTAGTCGAGCGAATGTTTGCTCGAACTTGAAATAAAGATAGCCCTTGGGCTATATAGTTGAGTGAGGATTTGCTCGAATTCGAAGTAAAGTTAGACTTTAGGCTTTATAGATAGTCCCCGAGTGAGAGTTTGCTCGAACTCGGGTCAAGATAGCTCGTGGGCTGTATAGTCGAGTGAGGATTTGCTCGAACTCGAAGTAAAGTTAGCCCTTAGGCTTTATAGATAGTCCCCGAGTGAGAGTTTGCTCGAACTTGGGCTAAGATAGCCCATGGGCTGTATAGTCAAGTGAGGATTTGCTCGAACTCGAAGTAAAGTTAGCCCTTAGGCTTTATAGATAGTCCCCGAGTGAGAGTTTGCTCGAACTCGGGTCAAGATAGCCCGTGGGCTGTATAGTCGAGTGAGGATTTGCTCGAACTCGAAGTAAAGTTAGCCCTTAGGCTTTATAGATAGTCCCCGAGTGAGAGTTTGCTCGAACTCGGGTTAAGATAGCCCGTGGGCTGTATAGTCGAGTGAGGATTTGCTCGAACTCGAAGTAAAGTTAGCCCTTGGGCTTTTTTAGGTTGGCCCTTAGGCTCTTTGAGTTGGGCCAATTTTGCCTCTAAGAACGGCTATAATTTTCCCCCCTTTTTTGGCTAAAAGACTTAGTGACAATTTTTCTATGCCTTGGCATGTTTTTTCGTACCCGTTGGGTTTTTCGAAGGTTCGACTGATTGGAACCTCATTTGTAATTTGATATGCAACGTTAATCAAATACCTCTTGAGGTTTGAAGGCTGATGTTATCGAAGCCTTCGCATTATTCGAGGGCTGATTATATCAAAGCCCCTTATAATTTGCTTTTGCCGAGGGTAGTCTGATTTAACCGGTATTTTTCGAAGTATATGAAGGCCTTTCAGTTTTATGGCAGAAGTCGGACGTCATCGAGCCGCATTATTTCGGCCGTAGCCTTTTGATGTGACCGTAGTCTTTTCATGTGATCGTAGTCTTTTGTATGGCCGTAGCCTTTAGGCCTCGAGTGTGATGGCCTTGGCCTTAATATCGAGGGGATGCCTTTTTGAGGTCTTGTGAGCTCGAGTGTACCTCTTTGAGGTCTTATAAGTTCGAGTGTGACTCTTTGAGGTCTTATAAGTTCGAGTGTGCCTCTTTGAGGTCTTATAAGTTCGAGTGTGCCTCTTTGAGGTCTTATAAGTTCGAGCGTTTGATGACTCGATGTGTCGATTGTCGATGAAAGTCCCCGAGTATTCGGCTACATTCGGGGTTCTGGCCCTTGAGCCGTTAAATATGAAAATAGTAGACTTCTTTGAGGCACAAAGTGTTTTGATATAATAATAATGCTTCTTCAAATAATCGATAGATGCATACATGTTTTGCCGCTGGGGGCTCGACTATTCTATATGGACACGGTTTATTTGACTGTTTGGCCCATTACAACATTCCCCTATTGAGGCCCTCCTTGGCATGGAATGCTTTCTTTGAGAATGCGTCTTCCTAGGGTGATGCCCCCCAGTGTTCGAGGTTGATTGAAAAGAATCCTTGAATACTTGTAGAATATTCCATAGGTAGCATATAGGTGCTGCCTCATTAAAAAACTTGCCGGTAAAACCCATTTGGGATAAAACCCGAACTAAGGGAAAGAGTGCAACGCGAGCTTCGAAACCCCAGGTCTTCGAGCTGAAAGGTGCTTCGATGTTTCCAAATGAACATCTGCAAGGAGTTAGTTTTGAATACAAATGGAAAAAAAGGGAGAAGGTCATACCTCGACAGTAATGGCGTTTGAGAAACGATACAATTTAATCGTTTGGTAGTTGCTCGCCTCCAATTGTACTAAGTTTGTAAGATCCTTTCCCTATGACTCCGGGGACACGGTACGATCCTTCCCAATCGGGGCCTAGTTTTCCTTTGATTGGGTCTCGAGTGTTAAGAGTGACTTTCCTTAGGACTAAGTCCCCGACTCCGAAATATCGAAGGTTCATCCTTCTGTTGTAATACCTTTCGATCCTTTGTTTTTATGTGGCCATTCAAATTAATGCGGCCTCATGTTTTTCATCTAGTAGTTCGAGAGAAGTGTTCCTAGCTTCGTGATTTGAGTCATTCGGTGGCTTTGTTTTTATCGGGATTGATTTCGATACCCCTGTTCGATACCATGAAGCCCAAGATCTTGTCCGAGTCGACTCCAAAAAGTGCATTCCTCGAGGTTGAGCTTCATGTTGTACTTTCTTAGGATATCGAACGTTACCTGCAAATGGGTCAAATGGTCCTCCGCGCGCAGGGACTTAGCATGTCATCAATATAAACTTTCATGGATTTGCCTATATGATTTTCGAACATCTTATTAACTAGGCGTTGATATGTGGCTCCTGCATCTTTTAGCCCGAAGGGCATTACATTATAACAATACGTTCCATACTTGGTGATGAATGAAGTTTTCTCCCGGTCTTCCGGGTTCATTTGAATTTGGTTTTACCCGGAGTAGGCGTCGAGAAAAGTAAGGATCTCGTGGCCGGCCGTAGCATCGATCAGGCGATCGATGTTGGGCAATGGATAAGACTCTTTAGGGCATGCTTTGTTCAAATATTTGTAATCTACACACACTCTAAGTTTATCCCCCTTTTTAGGGACTACCACTACATTAGCTAGCCATTCAGGATATTTTACTTCCCTGATGGACCCTATTTTGAGAAGTTTAGTTACCTCTTCTTTGATGAATGCATGCTTTACCTCGGACCGAGTTCTCCTCTTTTGCTCCATCGGTTAAAATCTGGGATCGACACTTAGTCGATGGGTAGTTATCTCCGGTGGGATCCCTGTCATATCTAAATGGGACCAAGTGAAGCAATCAATATTATCGACGACAAATCGAATGAGTATTGTCCTGAGTTCGGGGGTTAGCCCCGTCCCCAGGTTACCTTTTGTTCCAGAAGACACTCGATTAATATGACCTGTTCGAGTTCTCTGATCGTGGATTTCGTTGCATCTGATTCCTCAGGGGCAACGAAAGTTCGGGGAATGAGGAAATCTTCTCCTTCGTCCCCAGCCACCTGTTCATCGGACATTTGTTGATAAAACAAAATTTCATGTATAAATTAAGCTGTTATTTGATTTTTAGATTCTAATAGTTTAATTTTCTTTGTTGGAAATATCATAATTTAATAAGAAAATTCATAGTTCATCAATGAAGGAGATATCAGACAAGAAAAGTTCAAATACTGAATTATCCAAAGAAAGATTGTATAAACGTGATCTACCACGACAAAGGATAACCGACTCACAATCGGCTACAACAAACTATAACCGATCTATAACTAACTTACAACAGAAGATCATAACCAAGCATAACAAGGCCACAACCAGCCATGACAAGTTCATATCCAGAAGTGAATTGAAAACTTTGTCATGGCTTGCCTATAAAAAGAGGCATCATTCGTGAAATGAAAGAGCAGGAGAGCGAAAAAGAAATCTTAGAAGTGTAATATTGTGCAGAAAGCTTTTCCTTTCTCTTTGTTCTTTAGTTTCGCTTCTTTTTCATCGTTTAGCTATTACTCTGGCTTCATTTCTTGTTCTGAATAAATTGTAGTATTGGAAATTACTCTAGTTCCTGTTTTTAATTAAATAGGAGGAATTATTCTCTTGAATATTTCTTTCTATTTTCTTATTTAATGGGCAAGATTATTTCCATTGTCGGTATTGTTTCTAATATGGAGTAACTTTTCTTGTGTTGGAAAAATGACGGATCTTAATACTTTTATATAATAGTAGATATTATTCTTCAATTTCACATGCTTGAGCTGAAGCTTTTTATTTAAATTTTATCTGCTTTATAGTTGGGTGTTATTTAATTTGTTAACATCTATCTATTTCGTACTACATATTAACTTCTTACTAATTCTGTAATCGAAAGAGGCAAAAGAAGTAATACTTAGTTTTGGTATTGATAGATGTTAACCTATATTTAGTGACATCTAGCTCATATATATTAAAATTGATTCTACACTTATTTGTAATCGAAAGAGGCGCATATTGTAGTAATCAGTTATAGCAAGTAGGGTAACCGAAAGGGACTTACTAAAACAGAGCATGCTTTAGTTCAAGTATATATTTCTGGTTCTTTAATATTACCATTTTAACGATTAATTTGTATAACCGAGAGGAGTGCATTTAATTGTTCAACTATAGTAATAATATATAAATATAATCGTGAGAGGAATTTATACATTTATGAGAAATAGAAGTTGAAGGATAAATGTATCTACTATATAATAAAAATATTAAGTGAAGTCAGGATCCCAACACCTTTTTATTATATTTGTGAAAAACAAAAATATTTTCTCCATTCGTGCATTTTTTGTTAGTTATTCACAACTCAACTCTTTCTGATTTTCTCAAATAGTAATTAAAACAAGAAACATCTGTAGAATAGTACCAATCTCTGTGGATTCGATATCTTTTTATACTATTATTTGACAGAGTAGGAGTCAGAATTATATATACGCTAGTCACTCGTCAAATTTTTAGCGCCGTTGCCGGGGATTGGCTGATCTACTATAGATTAATTGTTTTCCTACTAATTTGAGATTTTTTTTGTCTAATCATTTTAACTTTTCTTCAGAAATTTCAGAAAGTGTATGACCCGTTCCTCTTCTAGAGAACTAGTCAAATACGATTCTGAAACTGAAAAATCTTTACGGTTGTTGCGAAAAGAACAGACCTCACGATCTGAAATTTTCACAATAGAGGAAATGGAGAACGAAGAACTCAATAACCAACTTCCACCACATCAAGTAGAAAATAGTTTGATGAGGTGGCACCACGACGTGATAGAATACTCCGTGATTATACAAGGCCAGATCATTTTGAAGGAGATTCAAGTATGAGGAGACCACCAATTGCAGCAAACAACTTTGAAATCCGCACAGGCTTGATTCAAACCATTCAACAGTCATGTCAGTTTACTGGTGATGTGAGTGAAGATCCTCACACCCATTTAATTGATTTTCTTGAATTAGTTGAAACTTGCAGGTCTAATGGAGTCACAACAGATGCTATCAGGTTGGGGCTTTTTCCTTTTTCATTAAAAGGTGAAGCCAAAACATGGTTGTGAAGTCTACCAAGAGGTTCCATGACAACATGGGACCAAATGACCCAAAAATTTCTTAGTAAATATTTTTCACCTACAAAAACATTTAAAATGAAGCAAGAAATCAATAATTTTATGCAGACAGATTCTGAATCTGTATACCAGGCATGGGAAAGATTAGCAGCAATGTTAAGAAAATGCCCACATCATGGTATCCAAGACCCTGACATTTTATATATTTTCTATCACGGTCTTAAACCCTCTGCTAGAAATGTAATTGATGCAGCATCAAGAGGATCAATAATGGGAAAAACTACTACACAAGCAATGCAATTGCTTAATGAAATTTTGAAAAATGCTGTTCAATGGCCCTCAGATAGAATGACTATCAAAAAAATGGCAGGAGTAAATCAAGTTGAAGCTTTGAATTCATTGACACAACAAATTGCGACTTTAACACAAAAAGTGGAGGCTTTTCAGGTAGGTGCTCACTCATCATCCCAACTTGAGAATTGTGATGTTTGTCAAGGTAATTATCCGAATCATGAATGTCAAGCTTCAACGCAAAATGAAGAACAGGTAAATATGATTGGTTATAGTAATAATTACTCATTTGGTAGTCCCATGGCACAAAAACATCCAGGATTTTAATGGAGTAATCCTAATGGTGCTAATAATCCTCAAAGAATTTTTAATCAAAAGCAGCAGGTACAGGGACCGCCTGGTTTTCAAAATCAAAATAGAGGGCAACAAAATTTTCAACAATATCAGCAGCAACCTCAAAGAGCTCATCAACAAAGCCTTGAAGACCTGATGTATAAATTCATTAAGGCTACTGACGAGAAGGTTAAAAGTCAACATTCAGCTATCAAGAATTTGGAAATTCAGGTAAGCCAATTAGCAACCCTCATGTCTGGACAAATTCAAGGTGCTCTACCAAGCAACACTGAGAAAAATCCAAAAGAACACATCAAAGCCATCTCTCTACGATCAGGTAAATCTCTTGGTGATCCATATGCAGATAGAGAAGGAAAGCCACAAGAAGTGGAAAAGGTAAATGAAGGTAAGAATAAAATAGAATCTAAGTTTCCAAAATTCCAAAAGGATAAAAGGAAAAATGTACTAGAAAATGAATTGATAACAAATCCTCACTCTGTACCTCTGCCTTTTCCCCAAAAGATGAAAAGAGGAAAGCTTGACAAACAGTTTTCAAAGTTTCTAGATATTTTGAAGCAACTTTACATTAACATACCTTTCACAGATGCTTTGACGCAAATGCCTTCATATGTTAAATTTCTCAAAGAAATTTTGTCAAGTAAAAGAAAATTGGAAGAAGTTTCAGTGGTTAAGCTTACAGAAAAATGTAGTGCTATACTTAAAAATAAGCTTCCTCAGAAACTTGGTGATCTGGGAAGTTTTACAATCCTTGTACCGTGGGAGGTACTCACTTTGAAAAGGCGTTATGTGATTCAAGTGCTTCAATAAATCTAATGCCTTTTTCAATTTTCAGGAAATTAGAAGTTGGTGAAATGAAAGATACTGGTGTGTCTCTTCAATTAGCTGAGCAAAGTACTAAGAGACCAAAAGGAATTATTGAAGATATCCTTGTCAGAGTTGACAAATTTGTATTCACAGTAGATTTTATAGTGCTTGAAATGGAAGAAAATACTGAGGTACCATTAATTTTAGGTAGACCATTTCTCGCAACAGGGAGAGCAATTATTGATGTTCATCAAGGACAACTAATTTTGCGAGTTGATGAGGAAAGAGTAATTTTTGACATGCAGAAAATGATGAAATATCCTGGGGATGAGTCATCAACATCTTGTTTTCAAATTGACTTACTAGATGACCTTGTAGACGAATACAAAGATAATCACTTAATTACTATTCATTGGAAAGATGTTTAGTCGGGTCAGGTACCACAAGTAATGAAAATGCCACAATCAGAGAAGAAGCGGAAACATTGGAAAAAGAATTTGAAAATGAGAAAGTATCACAAGAAGAAGTTCAATCAAAAATTGAACTCAAAAATCTTCCTTCTCATTTAAAATATGTTTTTCTTGAACCTGAATTATTTTCAGTAGTCATTTCATCTTCTTTGACTCCAGAACAGGAATACAAACTGATAGAAGTCTTGAGGAAACATAAAAGAGCTTTAGGGCGGACTATAGCTGCCATCAAAGGAATCAATCCAGCTATTTGTATGCATAGGATCCTCATGGAAGAAAATTACAAACCAAAAGTTGTGATGACCCAAAAGGTCATCACTTGCTTTTAAATTGAATTCTCTGTTCTGAGGCCATAAAACCCTCTTTTAACATCGCCTCACTTTACGTGCGCAGTCCGTGTGCGTAGCCGGAAAGCTTAAATGAGAAAATCTGTGAAAAATGATAAATTTTGACTATAAAATGAATTAATTTGACTTCGGTCAACATTTTGGTAAACGGACCCGTACCCGTGTTGTGACGGTCCCGGAGGGTTCGTAGGAAAATATGGGACTTGGGCATATGCCGGAATCGAATTCCGAGGTCCCAAGCCCGAGAAATGAATTTTTAAAGAAAATTGTTTTCTGAAATTGTTTAAAGGATTTGGAAATGAATTTTGATCAGAACATGTTGGTATCGGGCCCGTATTTTGGTTCCGGCGCCCGGTACAGGTCTTATATGTGGTTTAAGATAATTCTGTGAAGTTTGGTAAGAAACGGAATCTGTTTGACGTGATTCGAACCTTAATTGCAAAATTTGATGTTTTAAGAAGTTTGAAATATTTCATTGACTTTGAGGTTTAATTCATTGTTAACGATGTTAGTTTGGCGATTTGATCGTACGGATAAGTTCGTATGATGTTTTTAAGTTAGTACGTATGTTTGGTTTGGAGCCCCGAGGGCTCGGGTGAGTTTCGGATGTTTTTTGGAAGGTTTTTGGAACTCAAAAGTTGCAGGTTTTTCCAGTTCTGGTGTGCTGATACTTTCTTCTTCGCGTTCGCGGGATGACCCTCGCGAACGCGATGTGTTATTTATGCTGAAGGAAAATTCCTTCTACGCGAACGCGTAACCCAGGTGGCGAACGCGAAGTGTTGGGGGGGGGGGGGGTCTTCCCTTCGCGAACGCGGTCCTGGCAACGCGAACGCGAATGCTAATTAAGCCTGGGCAGGGGAGGGGTATTAAACCTACGCAAACGCGACCGCATGGACGCGAACGCGAAGGCTCGAGGGGGTCGCTTCTCCGCGAACGCGAGCCGTCATCCGCGAACGCGAAGGCCTAGCGGCCTAACCTATCGCGAACGCGATGAACCTGTCGCGAACGCGATGAACAATTTCGCCCAGTTATTTTAAGTTTAAAAAACAGAACACATTACGGGATTTTCATTATTTCTCACAAACATCATCTTCTCCACACCTCTTGGGCGATATTTGAAGAACTCCTTCACCATAACCTCTTGGGTAAGTAATCTTTGACTTGTTTTCTTCCATTTTTATCAACACCCACTAGATTTCTAGGCCTAAAACATGCGATTAAGGGTAGAAAATTAGGGATTGGGTAGAGTTAGGGCTTTTTGATTATTTGGAAATTTGACCTCGTTTTGGTGTCGGATTTCAAAACAAATTATATATTCAGGCTCGTGGATGAATGGGTGATCGGGTTTTGGTCCGAACCTCGTGTTTCGACCAAGCGGGCCCGGGGTCAATTTTTGACTTTTTGTGAAGAATGATTAGAAAGCTATAATTAAGTATTGGGATTGGATTGTTTAGCATATATTGATGTTATTAAGTCGATTATGTATAGATACAATTGATTTGGAGCCGAATTCGAAAGGAAAGGTGGTGTTTGAGGATTGAGTTGGTCGTGGAAGTCCGAGGTAAGTGTTTGGTCTAACCTTAGCTTGAGGGATTAGGAGTTGAGTCCTATTTGTTAAGTGTTAATTGTTGAGTACAACGTATAGGCATGGTGACGAGTATCTATACGTTGGTGTCTAGCATGCCCATGAGTCTTTACATTGTGATCTTCATGATTTTGTTGTATCTTTCATGCCTTGGTGATAGTTTCTATATGTTGTGTAAAGTTTGTGGAGGGAATTGTGACTTATGAACATTGAGGAGCGTTGGCTCAAGTTATGTAACGATGTTGTGAAAGTGTAAGTGATAATTGAACCTCTAGAGCATTGGCTCGAGTTATGAAGTGAATTGTGAAGTAAAAGTGAGAAAGAAAAGAAGTTATCATGTTGACACCCTTGCCGGGTTATTGTTGATTTATTTGTTATCTCCCTTGCCGGGATGTTGATATTATTGATGTTGTTCCCTTGCCGGATTTATTTGTTGAAATGTTGTTCCCTTGCCGGGATCTTTATTGAAATTTCATTTATTCCCTTGCCCTATTGTTTGTGATTGTTGTTTGGGTGAGGAAGAACATTAAAGCATGAAGGGTGATGTCGTGCATTGTTTGTATTGTGAGGAAAGAGTATAAAGCACGGAGGGTGATGCCGTGTATTATTGTGAGGAAAGAGTGTAAAGCACGAAGGGTGATGTCGTACTGCACGATGTACCATTCCGTGCCGATTTATTGATTACATGGTGAGGAAACAGAGTAAAAGCACGAAGGGTGATGTCATGCACACTTTTACTATATGATTGCTTTGGTGAGGACGAGAGTAAAAGCACGAATGGTGATGCCGTGCATTTATTGAATTCTGATTCTTGTTGATATCTGAGTTATGTTATTTCTTTCATTTATTTGATGTCTTTCTATTCAGAATTGCTATCTCCCCCACAGCATGCTCCCCTCCCATTTTGACTGGTTATTTCTGTGTCTCTTTTTCCGCTGTATATATATTTAAACTGCACAAGTTTATGTGGTAGTCTGGTCTAGCCTCGTCACTGTCACACCTCCTTTTTCCTTACTACACCCCCGAAAGGGTATAATAAAGGAGTTTTTCCAATTAAAGGACAATCAAAATGGGATTTGTTATTACGATTCAGAGTCGCCACTTGGGAGATTTATGGTGTCCCAAGTCACCGGTTTAGAATCCCGAATCGAGGAAAAGAATGACTCTGTTTAACAGTCCGCGAACCAGAAATCCGAGTAAGGAATTCGGTTAACCCGGGAGAAGGTGTTAGGCATTCCCGGGTTCCGTGGTTCTAGCACGATCGCTCAACTATCATATTCGGCTAAATTATCTGATTTTAACAATTATGAACCTATGTGCAAATTTTGACGTTTTAACTGCTTTTATTCATATTTTTAAAGAGAATTGCAACGTCGTTAAAATACGTCTTGAACCACGTCACACAAATGCACCCGTGATTTTTGACATATTTTAACTTCGTTGTGGTTTGGATTTGGGTCACATAAATGTGCACCCGAGTTTAGGAAAGTAGATTATTAAAACACGCGCCTAAAGTTACAAACGTGTTATTAACTTTGCGGGAGGCCATGAAAATTCGCTAAATGGAACGTCCCGAATTCTAAATATTTTAATATAAACATTTAAAGAGGGCCGCGCGATTTATGAATTTTTATTTGGCGCGACACACCTCATTTTTATTTTAAGGCCAATCTAAAGGAACTATGGTTTTCTATTAAGTATTGTCTCTAAAAGCCTAATTAGTAACATTCAGGCCTCCGGTCTTAGGGAATTGGTAAGTCGATTAAAGGGCTACTAAGATTGTAACTACCCCAAGTGTTAGAACATTGAGCTGAACTCGGCAGTAATGGAGCATTTGGGCCCAATGCGAGCCCAAATCTAATGAAGGGAAGGAAAAGGATACGCCACTTCAGACTCTGGGCCCAAGCGTGAACCCCACGGCCCAAGGCACACTGCTGGATTATCTCTTTTAAAAGACTCAAATTAATCTTCCAAAGCTGTTGATCGAATTCAAAATACATGTACGAATCACTAACTACTCATGAAATTCAACCGTTTCCACATTGATGTTAATTTAACAGTAGCAGTAAAACTGAACTTCAAGGACTTCTAAATGGACAAACCAGCATCAAAATTACTTCACGTACTTATGAGTAAAGCATGGTAGTTCTGCACATGGCTTGACCCTTTATTTAACTAATCAAATAATTCATTTTTGAAGTCCTAATAGTCCTGAAATATTGCCTTTAAAACAGACTTGGATCAGACAAAAAATGAAATATAATTGTGATTAAGAGTTGACACACATGAAGACTAAACTAGAGATCCATGAGTATATGACTGACTGAACATGAATGCTAAACACAACAGATCCTTCGAATACACATGCATAGAGCTAAAAAAATTCCAATCCCGTCGTACAGCAAATCCCAAATTTGATAACGAGGAAGGTCCATATTCTTATCAAGAAAATCTATTTAACAGGGTAGCACTCTACTAACAACAAAAACTTAAGGCAACATGATCAGATAAAACAAAGCTATGCTTTCAAAATTTCCTTCTCATTCCCTTCTTCAATTCAAAGCTTCAACAACACATACAAAGTTTCAGGAAGTGTGTACCTGATCACAGCAATAAACAAAGAAGACAATGAGCTTAGGAGACAACAGCGACAGTGAAGTTAAGTAGGACTCAACAACAACAGCAGAGCAACCCAGATTCAACCAAATACCCGATGAAATCAGCCCACACACGAATGAAACAATAACTCTACTTGCAGACTTCAAACCAAACTTTCAAAAGGTAACAAGTTCAAGCCATTTCAAACCCTCAATGAATACCAAGTTGTCTCAACCAGTTCGAGATTAAGAGAAAAGTAAAATCAATGAAACAGTAAAAGATTGTGGCTGTTTTTTCTATTTTCTCAGAATTTTTGCTCTCAATCTCCCAAGTTTCAGAATGTGTAGCTTCTGATTTTTTTTTTTACTGAAATTGAACAGAATCAATGGAATAGTTGAATGGCAGCTTTTCTGGATTTTCTAGCTCTC